CCACTGTGGCCACGGCCAAGCAGCACGCGCAACGGAAAGCCTCGGTGAAGAACGAGCCTTTCTAGGAATTTTTTTAGTGTAATAGCTCTCATTTTCGAAGCCCAAATTCAAAAGTTCGATGTTCTCGCAGTAAATCAAGCTGATCAAAGCGTCCACCAGAAAGTTTCCCATCAGTTGTGCTATGTCATCAGAACATGGCAAGGTCAGATTTGCAAGAAGGCAGATCTCGCCATCCCTTATAGATCCCTTGTTCAAAAGGAGGTATCGCTCCTGTGCCTGCTTCGTAATGCCCGTGATCCCTCCCAAACAGCCTTGAGGTGTTCAGGCGAAAGAAGTGCCGACATAAGGCGTGAGTCAAGTGATGTGCTTGAAACCTGCCGCTCGTTGGCATGCATGCAGGCACGGCGGCAACGGCGGTGATTTCCCGCAAAGCGCAAAATTAGCATAAGATTAGCTTCTTGACCAGGGAGAAGGGGATCTCAACGAAAGATGATACGCGTCGCGTGAGTGCGCAAATATGCATTAAGCGACTTTCGTCACAAACGGACATCGTCTCGGCCGTCGTGTCTCTCGTGACGAAACAAAAGTGCCATCCAAGAAAATTATAGATTACGCGACTACGGATTGACGCATGGCGGGTGGGTGGCACCTCTTCATGATCTTTTTACTCCAACCAAAATAACATTGTTGGTAAATATACCAAAATAATGCAGACGTGGGATTAAAAGAATACAAGAAAAGATCACAGAAGGTATTGGATACAGAGCTCATCAGAAGATTAATCAAATAGGCCAGAAGCCTGAACAACTGTAGGGTGCTGTCAGCTTTTCATCCAAATTCATTTTTAAAAAAGGACTCCTGCTATATGTGCCAACTGGTATCCTCGAGAACAGAGAGATTCGAGTTTCTACCTTCAAAATCCGTCCATGAATGGATAGGGCTTCATTAAACCAGGAAGCTCTTTCAAAACCATGGCCCTGTTCGGGAAGAATTTCCGTTCGTCAAATAGATGGATTTTTCTCCCGAAATAAATTTTAAAGGGATTTTTCATGCCAAAAATTGAAGTATAAACGTCAGGAGAGTATATGCGCCACTTAACGGGTCTGAAAAGTTATTCTGTATGCGATCGTCAGCATCGGCTGAAGGGGCAGGAGGACAGCTCAATTCGGAAGTTTCGATGCCCTCGCAGTAATCAGCCGTCAAAAGTCCCCCAGAAAGTTCCCATCAGTTGGTATTTCATCAGAACATGGCAAGGTCAGCTTTTGCAAGAAGGCAGATCTCACCATCCCCTATAGATCCCTTGTTCAAAAGGAGGTATCGCTTTTGTGCCTGCTTCGTAATGCCCGTGATCCCAAACAGCCTTGAGGTGTTCAGGCGAAAGAAGTGCCGACATAAGGCGTGAGTCAAGTGATGTGCTTGAAACCTGCCGCTCGTTGGCATGCATGCAGGCACGGCGGCAACGGCGGTGATTTCCCGCAAAGCGCAAAATTAGCATAAGATTAGCTTCTTGACCAGGGAGAAGGGGATCTCAACGAAAGATGATACGCGTCGCGTGAGTGCGCAAATATGCATTAAGCGACTTTCGTCACAAACGGACATCGTCTCGGCCGTCGTGTCTCTCGTGACGAACAAAGTGCCTCCAAATTATAGATTACGCGACTACGGATTGACGCATGGCGGGTGGGTGGCACCTCTTCATGATCTTTTTACTCCAACCAAAATAACATTGTTGGTAAATATACCAAAATAATGCAGACGTGGGATTAAAAGAATACAAGAAAAGATCACAGAAGGTATTGGATACAGAGCTCATCAGAAGATTAATCAAATAGGCCAGAAGCCTGAACAACTGTAGGGTGCTGTGAGCTTTTCATCCAAATTCATTTTAAAAAAGGACTCCTGCTATATGTGCCAACTGGTATCCTCAGAACAGAGATTCGAGTTTTTATTGTCAAAAACCGTTTATGTTTATGTGGGATATCGCCTTGAAAAACTAGCAAGTGCTGGAGAAGCTCCTTCTAGAGAGCTCTACTCGGGGGGTCCCGTTCGTCGAATGGATGAATCCTTCCCAAAAATAGTAGTGTTTTTCATTCCGGGAAAATGAGGTGAGTTTCACAAAAAAACACACTCGGTCCTCAGTGGGATTCTGGGAAAGGCTCTTCTACGGTTCTCAATGGCCGTTGAAGCCAGGATTGGGTAGGTGGACAGAGCTATTAGATTCAATAAAGTTGAAACATCCTCCACAGGGTGGATAAAATGAGTTCTCAGGTTGGATGCAACCCCTCTTCCATCATAGCGACCAAATGAGACTCCCCCCATTGTGTATTGAGCAACCATGATGTCCCTTGAATGGGTAGAATGTTCGATCCTGGAGCTACTTACATGCGTAGGACCGTAGCCACCGTAATAGGCCATATATGAACTGCTTTGAATTAGTAAAAAAATACTCCTGAACTGGTAAATTATGAGCAGCTCGGATCTGACACAGGTAAGCTGATTCTCTAGCAGATGGCCAAGCTGAAATTGTTTCAGCCCTTAATTTTTGCAGAAATTTTCTTCCTGGAATTTGACACCACGGCTTACGTCGAGGAAAGGTTCACGTCGTCAACGTCAGCCCTTCTATATGGACTTTTGAAGCTCTCAACTGCATGCCCAAGAAGTGCTTGCATTTGAGAGGCCTTAGAAACCCACGACCCTTTCCTCTTTCCCTTCAGCGATGCTGACGATCGCATACAAATAACTTTTTCAGACCGCGTAAAGTGCCGCATATATTGAGTTTACACTTCATTTTTGTCATGGAAATAATCTCTTTCAAAATTTATTCCGCGAGAGAAAAATTCATCTATTTGATGATACGGAAATCCTCCGCCGAACGGCGACTCATGGTTTTGAAGAGCGTCCTGGCTTAATGAAGCCTCATGCCATTCACTGGACGGATTTGACGTAGAAACTCGAATATCTCAACGTCCATTATAGGGAAGAACTGACGTCCAAAGTGGATCTTCCCGACGAAACGAGGTGTCAAAAATTTCATGCATCAAAATTCGTTCATTGTACTAATAAAATTTGAATGAAAGCAGAATGCCGGTGGGCGGATTGGTTGTGACCGGTAGATTAGAAACTCGAATCTCTCTGTTCCTGAGGATACCAGTTGGCACATATAGCAGGAGTCCTTTTTTAAAATGAATTTGGATGAAAAGCTCACAGCACCCTACAGTTGTTCAGGCTTCTGGCCTATTTGATTAATCTTCTGATGAGCTCTGTATCCAATACCTTCTGTGATCTTTTCTTGTATTCTTTTAATCCCACGTCTGCATTATTTTGGTATATTTACCAACAATGTTATTTTGGTTGGAGTAAAAAGATCATGAAGAGGTGCCACCCACCCGCCATGCGTCAATCCGTAGTCGCGTAATCTATAATTTGGAGGCACTTTGTTCGTCACGAGAGACACGACGGCCGAGACGATGTCCGTTTGTGACGAAAGTCGCTTAATGCATATTTGCGCACTCACGCGACGCGTATCATCTTTCGTTGAGATCCCCTTCTCCCTGGTCAAGAAGCTAATCTTATGCTAATTTTGCGCTTTGCGGGAAATCACCGCCGTTGCCGCCGTGCCTGCATGCATGCCAACGAGCGGCAGGTTTCAAGCACATCACTTGACTCACGCCTTATGTCGGCACTTCTTTCGCCTGAACACCTCAAGGCTGTTTGGGATCACGGGCATTACGAAGCAGGCACAAAAGCGATACCTCCTTTTGAACAAGGGATCTATAGGGGATGGTGAGATCTGCCTTCTTGCAAAAGCTGACCTTGCCATGTTCTGATGAAATACCAACTGATGGGAACTTTCTGGGGGACTTTTGACGGCTGATTACTGCGAGGGCATCGAACTTTTGAATTGAGCTTTGAAAATGAGAGCTATTACACTAAAAAAATTCCTGAAAAGGCTCGTTCTTCACCGAGGCTTTCCGTGCTGCTTGGCCGTGGCCACAGTGAGAGAAAATCTGGACTAATAAGATTTTCTCATGGATAAATGAGGATCAATCGATCTGAGGCACCGGGTCACAGCATAAATTGACGGATTGAAACCCGAAGGACCAGAAGGATCCTTGAAAGATTTTTTTTGAGAAAGTTTCTTTTCTTGACACATTCTTCTTGGAGCCCAGTATGCCATTTCTACTCGAGATCAGAGGAAGACTTACCACACCTTTCCATGCTAGCGCTGCTTTTTCGATCCACAGTCGTACTTCCTTTTGTAGACAAGAAAAACGCAGTCCCAATTTACGGACCTGTGTTCAGCCAAGTCTCCGCTCCAGGACTTACGGTTCATGCAAATCTCTTCTCACATGTCCTTAACGGCTTTCTAGTAGGCCATGATCAGGTCGGAGTCAATGCCTTTTTGGTACTGTAGTTTGTACTCTGAATTTCGGTGGCCTTGTTCGTCCTCGACCGCAACCGCACTGTCTAGCCCTACCGTATCCCTCAGTGCATCGTCGTCTTCGTCGTGTCTTTGTTTTATTGTTTTCGAAGCGGCGTCGCGCTTGCGCTGCTTTGTTTGCACTCGAGCGCGAAACTTGTGCGCGGAGCTGGCAATGGCGATGGATTACTGTAGGACTTAGACTGTGCTTCTGCCTAGTAAGACTTTGTACCGAGGATTACCACTCTACTAGTTGAGCTATAGTTGGTGAAAAAAACACTTCAATGAGAGGAGCTAGGGTCAAGTCCCTTAGATGGGGTGGAGGAACTACTGCCCAATGATGCCCTGGCACCGATTAGTGCAGATCGATTGTTGCAGGTGCTTATCAGCTTGCTATTAGGTGTTTTTTGCGAGGACCTCTGTTGAAGAGTGCTGCGTGAAGATGAGAGCGAAAAAAACGTCTTACAATCAAAGCAATTTCCACATGGCTGTCAGAGAGATCCATCAACTAAATGATTTCATTAACCTTTTTCTATTCTTTTGTTTATATTCCAGTTTTTTATAAAACACGTGAGATTTCATGATTTCATTTCAGGGACCGTCAATGGGCTATCCATTACCCTCTCAACCGGGCCACCCTTTAGCGATGGGCGGGACGTCACCCTCGGCGGCTGGGACGTCCCAAACCCTGCCCATGCAAGCCGTCAATAGCCCTAGCAGGTGGGAAAAGATAAACGAGCCTTGAAAGGCCTTTTGAAAAGAAGATTTTCCTCGAAAAAACAGAGGGATAACTGAGGTTTTTTCAGTTCGACATGCCTACGGAATGATGTCACTCCCCAATCGGGCGATACACCTGGACAGCCTGGCAATAATGGCAATCCTCCAAGTTTGGACTCAATTTCCGAAGCCGGTTAGTACTTTAGGCAATGAATGCTGATCACTTTCTATCGACTAACAACTCAAATAGTTTTTTCCATTTTCAAAACGATTTTCAGTCCCGCCTGACGCTTGCTTTGCAAACCAACCTTCCACCTACACCTACCTATCTATCCACTATTTTAGCTAACGTCTTTCCTTTCTTTTCCTTTATCTTTATCCTGAAGGGTACTTTTCCATTCCCCAGGTCCTTCCCAGATCGTGAGATCAGATTTTACATCATTTCTAAGCGAGACGAGCAGACGAGGAAACTCTGTTGTAACACAACGAAAACCACTTTGTTGCACCTCCTGGATGAGATTTATGAGGAACTTTTACGAAAATTAATGGCTTCTTTTGGCTTAGAAAAACTGATAGAACAAAAATGACTGAGCACTCCACGAATCCTATCCGTCTGTCTGATTGCTGTCCTCTCGAAGTTTTTGTGATGTATCGTTTTTGTGTGTTTGTGAATCAGCTCTTATCAGTCCCGGTGTTCATGATCAGACGATCAGATGAACCGTTAGCCCTGCATGACTCTGCTTCTTCCCCAGCATGTATTGTGTCAGTCCGTCCGTCCTGTGTCTGCCCCTCCAACGGCGATTCGTCAGTGCCACCTGGCCCTTCTGTCGGTGTCTGTGTGTCGCTTCAGAATAACAGTTATGAGTATGCCGTGAGTATCGCGGATTTCACGCTCAGTTGCGTTTGCCTAATGAGCTTTCAATGTTGTCCGTCCACGGCTTTCAGAGCTTTGTATGTCTACGAGTGGCAGTGGCGATCTGATGGATGAATGTCTTCTACCGACCGGTTTGCTCATGGACTGTACCGGCTACAATCCTGCTGCTGCCAGTACTTCTGATCAACATCATGCTGGTGGCTACGATATGTACATCGGCGACTACTGCCAACAGATCGTCTCCTATCCACAGCATCCATCTGATCCACCTCAATCCGCTGGTCGTGACACACCACAGCGAGCTGGTGGCAAAGCTATTGCTCAACAAGCGAAGAAACGAGGAATTTTCCCAAAACCGGCGACCAACATCCTTCGAACGTGGCTTTTCCAGCACTTGACGGTAATTGCATCTAACCGCTTTTACTCACTCGCTTTTCTGTGTTCTTAATAGTTTCGTTTGCGACGCTGCGACACCACCTGACTGGCTGCGATTGACGTGGTTCATTTCGTTTTTTT